CCTGCTGAAATGACTAGCTTCATAACCACAAGGTGCAAATTGAAAGTCATTTAGTCAAGAGGCCATGACTCATGTTCTTCCCTCTCTTTGTCTTGGGCTTTGGTTCGCAGGAACTGAGGCAAGGAAGATGCTGCCCACTACAGTCTTAGGTTGGGTTCACGGGCAACTAAGTAGTTGCATGCTCATCCATGGTGAATACGATTGTGGAAGACTTGCTCTGTGTAGTGGATGAACACCACTTTGAGTGGAAACAGTTGGGTGCAATGCAAGAATGACCATACTGGGCGAGATCAAAGGTCTTTCTAGCTTAGTGCCATGTCTCCAGGGGAGGCCAAAAGCAGCAGGTATTTAGTGAACTAGGTGAAAGCCGAATACATCAAAGGCGAGCCAAACAGCCTAGGGATCTCTTTATATAAGAGTTGTAATCAGACCCCCACGCTTCATCTGAAAGAACAACAGATATCAGAAAGCAGGTGAACTCCTGGTTTGAGTGATGAGGTTTCTGTGCTGCTGTATATGCTGGACATTTCTTGCTATTAAAAAAAGGGAGGAAGGATTTTTGTCTGCCTTGGTTCTGCATGAAATGTTTGCATAAGAAACAAATTTATGAACTTAAATACAGGGCTGACGGGTTTTTCTCCATCCATGCAGGCGTTTGTGTCTACAGTCCTTTCTACAGAGGTTGTTGCTTTGGTTTGTGTTAGACAGGGGTTTTAGTTTAAGTGCAAGGTTACAGATTTAGTAAAATTGGGACCTCCTCTGTTGCAGGATCTGTGGATTCCTTACTTCACGATCACAACCGACATCACTGCCTCAGCGATGAGGGTCCACACGGACGGTGAGTGTGTAGGCAGCCTTTCTGGCAGCAGGTCATAAATAATGATCTGAGACTTTGTGTCACCCCTTGTTCCTGGAATTTTCCTCGCCTTCACATTTGTCTTTCCTTTTGTTTCTCCCTTCTCTGTTATTTGCTGAGCACCAAACTGTGGTGGTACGCAGACGACAAGGAACAGAGCTGTTGGGAAGAAATTTAATGAGATGCTGTATTCACTGTTCAGAGAGAAAATGGGTCCATTAACACCATTCTGTTTCCCGTGAGGTGCAGGTGTTTTAGCCATAAATCATGACTAATGCATCCAAAACATTTTAAGATTCAAATTCCCCATAAATGAAGCTGTTTCCCCAAGAAAAGACTCCTGTGCGTGAAGCCGAAGCTGGGTTAGATTCTCACTTGTGTCCAGTCCTCTTTATTTCTCTGGTAGAAAACTGTAACGTACTTTACTGACTGAACAGAGGGGAAAGATCCGAGCTGTCTGCTCTGCTGTCAGGACGTGGTGGCAGCCCTGTGGGACGCTTGCTTTATCTTTTGTCTATTTGGGGTAATGGTGCAGTGGCTCAGGCTGCAGTGAAGAAAGTAGAAGCCTACCAGCTACCCCGTGGGTAGCTGAAGCCTCTGCTGCCACGTCTCTGATGTTTTGTCCTTTGAGCTGGCGCAGGTAAGACTCTCCATTCCTTCTGTCAGGGTGGGGGTTACAGAACCGCTAAATTATACTGACACCAGGGCTTTGTTGACCGCGGACAACCAAGGGAGCTAAAACAAGCAGACAAAGGATTAACCTTTCGTAGAGGTTTTGTATTCCTATTCTGCAGCAGGTTAAGCCAACTTAAGTCAGGAGACTCACTCCATCCAGCTGCTTGTCCCTGTGGAAATTTAATGTAAGGATAGCAATCAGCTGGAGAATGGTTATGGTTGTCTCCAGAATTCACTGAAAGGAGGGGAAAGAAGTTCCCAGCTGCTGCAGTTGCCCATCTTGGTTTCATCTGCGGGATGTAACACCAGAAGTCAGCATTTTTCTTGGATGGAAGTTCCAACTCAACTAAAACTATTAATAATAAAACCCAAATCTGCCAGTATTGTCCTGTGCTAAACAGTAGGAGTGCATAGGTTATAATTAGGAACAGAACTGTTATATATTTTAAATAGAAAAGAAAAAAATAAATTCCCAGTTTACTGGAAAGAGTTGCTGTTTGAACCACCAAGGACTTAATTATTGAGAAGATGCGCTTCTCAGGTGAAACTCTTGGCCTCTTTGGAAATGCCTTATCTTCTCAATTCAGCTGATGCAAATGTTAGGAGAGAAATCAGTAAATAAGGGCCTTAAAGCAGAATGTTTTACAGGAAACAGATCCAATCAATTTCTACTTGATTAAACTTTCTGTTTCTAACAGCTTAGAAGATAATAACTTTCTTCCTTACAGCACTATTAACAGAAGTGTCCCAAGAAGAGTTAAGATCGCCACCATGTACTCACACTGGTTTTACAAGTGAAAATGTTTGCTTATTACGGAGCAGGGAAAACAGAATTTTTGGGCTTCTACAGCGTATATTTTTTATGTTCAGCTCCTGCTACAAGTCTGGTTTTTGTGGGTCTCTGTAGAACATAATGGCTTTAGTTGCACTTCAGCCTGCTTATTCTTTCTATCCCTTTGTCCCCAGGAGAAGCCTTTTCCTTTCCTTATCAGTGTAAGCTCAACAAAGCACTAAAGATGATCCCCACAGTCAGGCATATGCTGATATCTCCTTGAAAGCAATATATATGAGGCATGGGCTCAAAACTGTGGTTTCTAAGGCCTTTGACTGATAGTGTCTGAATAGCCTTTTTTTTGTTTCTTTTTTTTTTTTCCCTAGCCAGGATTGTGGTATAGAAAATAATAAACTGCTTTAATAACTTTCCAATGGTATTCTCAGGAGAGCCTCTATCTCCCGATTATTTTAATGAGTGCAGTAATTAATGCTGTTGCCATTCCCTCCCTCTCATTCCTGCAGGCTCTCTGTGGAGGTATGTCCGTGCCAGCATGTCCCTCTCTGGGTATATGCCTCCTCTCTGTGACCCAAAGGATGGGCATCTCTTGATGGATGGAGGTTATATCAACAATCTTCCTGGTAGGTGCGCAGATCGGTTGGGAAGAGGTTACCGAGAACACAGCCCATCAAACAGCCTGCAAAACTTTGTCCTCTTTTTTTTTTCCCAAAAAAAAGGAAACAAGGAGAAATATTGCAGACACCTTTAATCTCATGATGGTTACCAGGAGTCATTGTTCTCAGTTTCCTAGGTGTTTGCTTTATCATGCCTTTATTAAGATTATTTTTTGTTACGAAGTATTTTCTAATAGACATATTCTGAACATATAATTCCAAGGTAATTTTGAATTTATGTTAGTGCTCACTGAAAGGAGAGAGCAGAAATTAAACTGCAAACATATATTCTATCTATCTTTGAGTTTCTCTTCAAAAAGTATCAGTTGAATAAGAAATAGTTCTGAGAAAGCAATAGCATTAACTCTTCATTGTTCAGACTGGTGTCACCCAGAGCCTGAAGGGCTCAGCTGACAGGCATCCGTGTCTTGGTTAGCTCCTAGCACATGGCAGAGGTAAATCACGTGGTGTTCAAAAGAGTGATGTGGAGTTTGGGGTGTTCTGAGGACTGAACCCAAAAGGGTCCACGGTGTGTGAATTCACTTGTGTGTGTTTGGGATGTGTTTTATGTCAGGGTTGTCATTGTAGTCAGAAAGCATTGGAAGGTGGGTGGCTCAGGAGGGTGGCCAAGATAGAAGAGAGACATGTGGTGTCATTTCGGTTTGTGATTATAATTCTGTACAAATAGAGAGGAAGGAATCTAAGCTAGAGACTCTGCATCTGAGCAACCTAAATCATTTACATGTTCAATGTAAACCCAGAGTATATTTTTCCATTGGGGTTGTATTTGCCTAAAAACCAGAAATGGAAATAACACAAAATAGACCCCCAAAATCTGCATCTGACATTCTCTGTTTGTGTCTGTAAGCAAAAGTATGAATTGCAAGCCAAGGCACCTTTTCCACCTGCGCATATTGGAGAGGGCAAAGAGCACACACGCAGGTGACACTGGGTGGAAAAGATACAATAGACTGAACGAGCCCAGGAATATAGATCCAACAGAACAGATCTGATTTAAACAAGTGTCTAAATTAAGCATCTAAATTGGCTCTTCAGAGTTGTGGTTTTCCTACGCATAACTATTCTGGAAACTGCAACTATCTTGGACTCTGGGGGTGTGGAAGAAATACAAATTCACTCTATGAGGTACATGTCCTTCTCTTCCCTCCCTTGGCACTTCCCTAAATCCTTTCCCGTATCCAAAGGCTGCAGCTAATCCTTTTACTGACCTTGAAATAGGAAGGGTTGCCTCATTTCTCTCCCACTTCCAAATATGAATCTTTCTCTTGGATCCCAAAGCTTTTCTTAGACTGAAATCCTCCCAGCCTCTCCTTGCTGTCTGGTTCCTGCGCTGCTCCTTCCCTTTATTACTTTCTATCTGCGGGGTTGACCCCTGCACTGCTGACTCTCCTCTTTAAGGCCGCTGCCACTTGCTCTCTCCAGAGGCCCCCCAGATCTTTTGTTCTCGTGAGAAATGCTGCACGAGGTAGAATTAACGTGGGTTTAACGTGCTCTTTCGCATTATACCTAATGTGGTGTAACTGTGGACCTGAGCTGTGTGTGTCCCACCTCCTCTCCCCAGCTCCCTGCTGTACAATTTTGCTGCTGCCTTCACATTGGTCCTGGTGACAGCATGGCCTCAGAGAGAGTCAGGTCATCCTGCCGATCTGGGGGGAAACGTACCCCATAAGTGATGTTTAATAGCCGTTCAGCAATGGGAACTCACCCTGAGGTTACACAGGGGCTCGGTCGGTGCGCAGCGGGCAGCATGCTGGGATCTCTCCATTAAAACGGAGCAGGTGGGGTAGGAGCCTCCCTGGGAAGATGGTCTCTCGGCAGAGTGGCTGCAAATGTTTATATCTGAGGCTGTTCAGAGACACTCGTGGTAAGTACAATGTCAGGTTATATACTCCCTAACAGTATGTACGTCAGCTTTGGTTGAGCAGCACCAGGGTTGGCAGCACTGGTACTGATACGACCTTCTTTCCCACTAGCTGATGTTGCGAGGTCCATGGGCGCAAAGGTGGTGATTGCGATCGATGTGGGGAGCCAGGATGAGACAGACCTCACCAACTACGGTGACTGCTTGTCTGGTTGGTGGCTGCTCTGGAAGAGGTGGAATCCACTGGCCGAGAAAGTCAAGGTATTGCAAACTATATTAAAATGGCAGCTGTTTTTATGTACAGAGCTGGAAGCTTCCCCTTGTTCATTCAGGGAGCAAGCTTCGTGACAGACCATCTTGTTTCTTTGGTTTGAGCTCTTACTTATGGACAAAACAAGCTGGGCAATGCCCTGACACCAAAGGAAAGGCAGTGAGATGGGAGAGGGTAGAGCCCCAGTCTGGGAAGGGGATGGTAGAATTGTTAGAGCAATGAAACCTTTTCTTAGAAGTGCAGTAAGTTTTAATAAAGTCAGAATTTACGAATTTTACCAATAAAAGTAATTCAGTGTTTCTGTCCTAGAATTTTACCAATAAAGTAGTTCAGTGTTTCTGTCCTAGAATTTTACCCATAAAAGTAATTCAGTGTTTCTATCTCCTATTGATTTAGGGAGATATTAGCACTAGGCAGTAATTAACATTATTACTACTGTTAAACACTGGTCTGCAGAGTATGATTTTTTTTTTTTTTTTTCTTGTTGCGTGCAGTCAGGGCAACTCTGTTACTTATTCTTCTGCTGTCCCAACTACAATTAATGTGTTCCCCTGTTGGAATTGGAAGTAAAATACTTGTTTGTGCTTCCCAAAGTTAGGGAAAATACTACAAGCTGTGGGTACTGCTCTGTAATCTAGATTTTTTCCTCTGTAATAACTCCCTTCCCTGAAACGGTCTCATGTCCCTGCAAAGTAGCCTTCTGGAGTTGGTGCAGCTGTGGAGTGCCCTGCTGTGCCTTGGCAGAGTTGACCATGCTGCTCCCAGCATGTAGTGGGAGCGTTTGGTGGGGGAAAATGGAAGACCCTGACTCTTCTCAGTAGTGCCCAGTGAAATACTACAACTGCCCAAATGGCAATAGGCACACATGAAAACATGGGATTCCTTCTGAACACCAGAAAACACTTTTTTTTACTGGGGGTGGTGGAACACTGGCCAACCAGAGAGATCGTAGTCTCCATCTGTGGAAATATTCAAAACTCAACTGGACATGGTCCTGGACAACCTGCCCCAGCTGACCCTGCTTGAGCCAGGAGAGTTGGACTAGACGATCTCGAGAGGTCCCTGCTGACCTCAACCATTCTGCAAAATCTCTGCCCTGGTACTGCAGAGATCATCACTGATTTCTGCCTTGAAGGATCTCTGTGCCCCTCTCACCTCAGCACCGATCTCTCTCTTAAGGTACCACTATATCCTGGAATGAAAGACTCAGTTCAACCTTGAACTGCAGAAATATGTTTAAAGGCAATTCCCTTTTTGCTGTGGATTATGGAGACTCATTGGCTAGCTGTCCACACTGCCTGGGAGACAGATGGAGGTGCTGATGTGTGAAGGCTTCAGCAGGCTTCTGTGCGCTCTTGGGGGAAAAAAAAAAAATGATAGATAAATTGCTTTTTCTCCTTTATGAAAACAGAATATGTTCTGAAATGAAATTTCTGAATTAATCATGATTGGTGTGCTTGGCCTGGTTGGCAGGTGCTGAATATGGCAGAGATTCAGACGCGGCTTGCATATGTGTGCTGCGTGCGGCAGCTGGAGATGGTGAAGAACAGTGATTACTGCGAGTATATCCGGCCCCCCATTGACCGATACGGAACCCTGGACTTTGGGAAATTCGACGAAATCTGTGTAAGTGCATCCTGGGGAAGGCAGTTCCCCCGTATTGCCGTTCCACAGAAATCTGCTGGTTTGTGGTGCTAATTAGTGCCTCAGCTGTTGGAGAGTAAGAGAAGTCAGTTGGCATAGATGAATAACTGACGCTAAATAGTGCTGTGGAATGATATCATGACTGTGAGATGGGATTAGCAGCAGAAATCGAGTTAGTAATCTTGATTATATAATGACCTGTGAATGGATCAGTTGCCTCACTCCGTTTCATGACAATTCTTGCTCAGCTGCTTGGTAAAAACTGTTGGCTGTCTGAGCTGCTTTGGGCAGTTGGGGTTTGTCAAATGGTGTCACTTCTCTCCCTTCATTATGTAGCTCGTTGTCACATGAAAGAGTTGAAGTCTGTAGGGGAGGCCATGAATCACTGAAACGGAGGGCAACGTGCTAAAATATCTGGCTCAGTTAACGTTTCAACACTTCTATTAATAAAACATATAATCTACAATTCCTCTGCACCTGATAGAGTATCAGGAAAATGGCACCAATGTCAGTGGAAGGACGTTGTAAAAAGGTTACAAAAGGGTAGTACCAGCTTACACAGCTCTGGGGTTTAGTTTTGTTTGTCTATGTATCAGAAACCGGCATGGGAAGAACTGACTTCAGATGTGCAGTTGAATTGTCTTAGTGCCATAATTCAGCATTCACAACAAAAACGTCTCTGCTCAGGTTGAGGTAATGATAGCAATTCTGGCTCATTGTCTCTTGTCAAGGAAGTTATTTTACTGTCTCTTTGCGTTCTTTGCCTGCTTCAGCCATGCAAGTATCTTCCATCTCCAGGTGTTTCTGCATAGCTTTGCTCTTCTCCTAGGGTGGAAAAAAAAAACCACCACCAATTTTCCTTTAAGTTGATCTCCTTTATAGAACCTACAGTACTCATTAGGCTGCAGGTTGATTTCTCTAATGCTGTCTTATAAATACTAAACAAAACCAGTAATACCATTAAGCCCTGCAGATTCTCATTTGACAGAGTCCTTAGGACCAAACAGCAGCTATTCCAAACCACCAGCTGATTTCCCCAATATAAATATTTTCTCAAGGATATTTGGTGTCCCCTAGCTCCTGGACAAACAGTGCTGTCTGTCAACGGTGGATCTAAGACTTTGCCAATAAATAATATTATTTGCTAGATGTAGTGCCCTGGCCATTTGGAAAACCTTGATGAACGGGTCTGGTAGTTCATGTAAGCTGTCAAATCATTGTTCTGTCTCATTTGGTGTCATTAAAGAGATTTAAAGACGCCAGGCAAATTTTTCTCAGTGAAATAAAACTTGAGAAAAGTGTGGTTTCTCAGGATGTCACTTTCTGTGAGCAAGTTCTTGGCACGAGACACTGCAGGTATGGAGGGGCAGCACCCTCCTGCATTTTCATTCCCTGCAGTGTAGCTAAATAACTTCTGTCCACAGGAACAAACTGTGCTGACCTTAAAGGAAAGGGATTCCTTTACCGTTGTAGGCTATGAAGTAGCGGGTTTTTTTATTTCAGCTATGTACCTGGATTTTACAGAAAATAGAAATAGGTACCATATAACCACTCAAAAGAAAAAAAATCCCCTCTTCTTGTCAAAACCCCTCTTCTGTATCAGCCTAGAGTGGTAAGTCAGCTGCATGTCATTTCCTGAAGCTCAGGTTCTCGCAGTTATTTTGGATCGATCTGACCCAGTTAGCTGTAGATCTGTCAGGTCCCTTTTCCTCTTGAGTAATCACATCCACCCTGGGCTGAGGAGCTACAATAGATTACGAGAGGTGAATTCCAGCCTGAGTGCCTCCCGTGCTTTGAACCCTGGTCCAAAAACCAGAGGAGAGACAGTATCAGCTCAGCCAGGGCTGCTTTCAGCACTCGGAGTTGCTACGCAAGCCTGAGGTTTGGTGCGTGCTGCCAGTGCGAGAGCCGGAACTAGGATCCAGGACTCCTGACACCTGTCGCCCTGTCCTTTCGATTTGATTTTTCAACACCATTTCTACTGTCTTGTTAGAAAAAGAGTAAAACTTGGAGCAATCGGTTTATTTTTTCCAGTTGTTTCCATGCTCGTGACGCAGTGCCGTGTTATTATTCCAAGCGCAAATTACTTTATACTTTTAAATTAGAGGAACGTGGAGTTTGTGGGTTTGGTGTTGTCCCTATGCCATCATTTCTGCTCGAGCGAACTGATGCTTGCTTGTTCAGTGCTGTCTGGCTTAACTCATTGCAAGAGATTTTGGAACCGGGTGCCCTATGGTAACCTTTCTTCACTAGAAAAGTTTTCTTTTCTTGGCTATTCTTGAGCCAAGAGGGGAGAAGACACAAATTAATTTGTGGTGTTACCTTCTTCCAAAGAAAGAGCCAGTACTGGAAGGGCATATACATATGCATCCTAAGCTTTTCTTTATATGGCATTATTCTTGAAGCCACTGCTGTAAAAATAGTTGTGTCAGGTGGCAGTTTTCATTGCATACTGTGGGGTCAAAAGTCAAGTTAGCATTTGGACTTAAAATGGCACCTTGTTTGCTTAATCGTTCCCCTAATTCTTCGGCTGAACAGCTTATGTAGCTGAGGCTGGAAGGTATCAGAAGTACATCCTGGCTTTGAGGAGACCTCTAGATTTCCTACTGATTTGTAAAAGATGTGACATAATGGTTCTTTAGCTATTAATTACCTTTTTTCCCCTCACTCTGTTTTTTCCAGGAAGTGGGATACCAGCACGGGAAAACAGTATTTAATGTCTGGTGCAGGAGTGGAGTCCGTGACAAGATGCTAAGAGACAGGCAAGAGACTTGCAAATCCAAAACTGATGTAAGTGTTCAGTTTAAGTGCACTATTCTGCAAGAGCTACGTGACGCACACCAGATTGTGTACTGCCCAGAAACTGGGCAGGGGTACGAAGGAGAATGATCGATTGCCTCAAGTCCTTATTGTGAGCATGCATGTGTTAGTTAAAACTGTATATTAGGCAAGAAAAGGTATGATCAGTTTTTCAGAAACTTCTTTCCTTGAACCATTGCCTGGATGAATGAGGTCCTGCACTTCTTTGATCATGAGGTAAAAGTGTGGCCACAGTGTGCTCTGCCAGAACCTAAGCCCTGACGTCTGCCTGTCCATCCCCGATACCTGATGCATGCCCATGCAGAGATCCATCTGTTTCCTCAGCAAGTACGACGAGGTCTCTGAAACCCCAGGAACCGATGTAGCGCTCTGTAGGGCGGCTCTCCTGTTGCTGTTTCATTCTAGCAGGTTATTGATACCATGCTTGTAACCTGCAATCGTTCACCACACAAATGTCCTTGAACGAAGGCAGGATGCTCACCAGTAACCAGCGTTTTCTGAGATGCGTAGCTGATGTGTACGTGTTTACATGCCCACCTTTCTCTTCTCCTTCCCTGTGTGCATCAGCAGTCTTGAGGGCACTAAATGCTGCTGGCTGAGCTGCCTTCTGCACCGAGCGCTGGAGGGGGGGCTGTGACTGTGCCCCCGCAGGTCCTGTGAGAGAGGATGGTCTGTGGTTTCAGGTGATGAGCCCCATTTGTACCCATCGCTTGAATGCACATGTGGACTGCCTCCTTGAGTAATGCTGAGTAGGCACAAGTAATCTTTTAAGAATTATTTTTCATTTATTCTTGTGCCACAAACTTTAGGTAGTACCTGGATATTGTTCTTGCTACTAGAAACTGGTCTGCCAGGGCAGTGGCTCTCTGCCACCAGCTGCCCAATGCTCATCACAGAGGATGTGAACTGGGATCGCTGGCATTGATCTCTGCCATTGCTGGCTTTCAGGATGTGACTCAGATAGTTCTCAGATGCTTCCAGAAAACCTGAATTAAACCCTTGCTATAGATGTGTTTTTAGCCAAGAGTTAAAGTCCCTGCAAAGCTGTAGATTTCTTGTTTTGTTGCTTTCCTTCCTCACTCCTCTGTTAGAAAAGGCATTTCGTAGAGCCGTCATTAAGGCTCCGCAGAAGCTTGCAGCGCTGTCGAGGTACTGGGTTTCATGCACCTTGTTCTGCCCGCTTCAGCACATCTGAGCAGTTAATGTACGGTTTGGTAAATGCCTGATTATGGTAAATCTACAGGCTGCATAGTGTTGCTGTGTGGTTACAGTCCCGGTAAGATTTCTACTTAAAAGTAGCATAAAATTCTCTTGGTTTTACAGTTTAAGGATTGAGGTCAGCTTCTAGAGTTGGTTCATAACTCAGTGGGCTGACTGAATTTCTTGGCGGGGAAGTTTCAGTTGTTTTTAAACCATTATCACCTTTTTGAGGACTTGGGTACAATATTATAATATATTGGCTTATTATCCTTACCCTCCTTTGAATTCCTCTGATTTAAAACCCAAGTGCTACGAAAGGCTTCATGTTTTACCCAGTAATTCATCTTTATCGTCTTTTAGAGATAGAGGAATGAGCAGTAATATTTTAAGTGATTGCCAAAATGTATCATAACTATAGGGAGCCTCACTAAAGGAAGTCAATAGAGGTGAAAAATGACACTGAGGATTTGCAGCTCTTTCAGAGATCGGTGGTAGAGCACTTTCACTAGGAGGGAGATGGCGTGAGCAAGGGGAGAGGGAGGGCAGTACTTGCAGGGATGGGCATTAGTCCAGCAACAAGGGGTGGATGACACCCACGTCTGAGCTAGTTGCCCTACACCCCCATTTATCACCGGAGAGAGATGAGCCTCTGTAGAGTGTGAGTCACTTCGTGACATGGCTCCATTGGGATAAGATGAATGGCACCCGCGGCTCCGTCCGTGTGAAGGGAGCCAAGGGGGACTAGCGCTGATGACTTCCTATCATCAGATGAATCCCACCCAAGCTGCCTGGCAGGGTGAGTGGCTATTGGGAGGAGCACAGAGGGACTGAGCTTTATAGAAATAGCTGGGGATCTGAGTAGCCTGAGGAGCCCCAGAACTCATCAGCTTGTTCTTACTGGGAACATGACCTGGACTAGGAGATACATTAGTCTGAGCTGCGGAAGGCGGGTCCCCATTCTACCCCTGATACCTTGTGTTCAGACTAGTTATAAGCTGATATGTGTTTGTTTATGTGTATTAATAGTCATAAGGAGAAGTCAAGGGAGAGAAAATTGTGTGTGTCTCCAAAATGGTTATATGTCCTATTTCATCCTCTAACTTTTATCACCAGCTGGTAACAAGCTCAAATATATTCATTGCTGTAACAAATGCTTCTTTTAAAGAAGACTTCTTTAAAATTGGCCATTATATGGGATATAGTAATTCAGGCTAATATTTCAGTTAAATCATGATATTACAGCTTTGCATCAAGCAGCATGTTGAACATTTATCACAATCTACCCTGGTTTTTATGGCTCTTCAACTGTCCTGGAGATCAAATATGTCACGTACTCATTGTAGGCATAGCCTGTCATTGAATTTCTGGGTATGCACTTGATAACAAGGAGAGAGTGCTGATAGCTGAGACGCCAAGAGTATGAAAATAATGGGTCACTCAGGAGAGTGAGTCAACAAACTTAAGGAGCGGGAACCATGCAGCTTTGTGCATTCCCCCAAACTGACGCTAAGGCTCAGTTCCAGGCTGTACTCCTGAGAACCTAGGAGATCATCTGCTCTTCCTCTGAAAACTCTGCAGTTCAGTAAAAACCAAGATTTTTTCATCTGACTTTTTGTTTCAGTAGATTTATTTCTACAAAATAACAAGTATTGAAGGCTCCCACTAGGGTATTTGTCTTTTGGTTTTTTCTTAGTCCATTAGAGTCACTTAAGTCCTTTAGCTCTGCTATCTTCCAGGGATAACAGCTGATATTTTAACTTGCCTTTCATTAGCGAAGGTTTTGATGTTTTTGTTCTTCAGCTATTTCTGGAGTGCTCAACATCTGAGAGCTGAGCGTGGTTTCTTATCATCTTGTTTCCATGTTGTAAGCACTGAATTTTTACTTAAAAATTCCAGATATTTAATCATTTAGATACTTTTCCTTTGCTTTCATCATTCAGTCACTGTTTATCTTGTTTGTGTCTTCAGCACTTTTGAGACAACAGGAATCTTACATAAACTTCACTTGAACAACCCTTACTCTTCCCCAGCACAGAATAATGCAATACCGTTAATTGGATCTCCTCGGGGAAGTTTTGTCTACTGAAGTGTTATTCATAGTCAAAGCTAAATATAATCTAGCAGACTACAATAGTAACTGTCTTTCTCCTCTAATTTATTTAATAAAGATTGTGCCAAAGAGAATACTTTCCTCCTTGGAAAAAAAAAAACTATCAGCAGAAAGGTTTTAGAGTAGGTTTCAAATGAATCTGAGATGCTGCTTTGCCTCATGTTAACTGATGGGAGTGTGGTTTTGTCCTTAAAAGTAGTAAGAAGAAGTGTTTAAACATTAAATTCCTGTTTGCAAAGCATCAGACGAGTGTGGGAAGACACCTGGTTTCCCACAAGTGGCGTTCCAGTCTCAGTGCTAAGATTTTGGGGTGCAGCTGCCTCAGCAAGCGTCCTCTAACCGGCTTACACGCAGGATCATCTGTATGTCAGCGACCATAACAGATGCTCCCGCGGGTACGGTCGCACTAACGATTGCCTTCATACTCATCTGTCCTCACAACTCGTCTGCGGGAGCACGTGAGCTGATGGTGGTTTTCCTGAAGCACCTTTTGGTGACGGTCGCTGCAGGCTTTTGTTCAGCTGTTCATGTAGCCCCTGGACTTTCGTCCCCTCCAAAGTCAGTCCGTGTCTGCTCCGTGCTCCCAAGGACAGCCTGGCGCGTGTCTGCCTGAGCACGGGGTGCAGCCCCTTTGTCCGCCTGGTAAGAGTCCACGTTTTTAGAGTACAGGCGATGGCCTCAAACATTGCTGTGTCTGCTTGGTGGCCAGAGTTTGCACATATCCCTCGGTTAGTCATATGGCATAAAATGAAGATGTAGATACTTTTTTTCCTATCCTGGGGAACAGCCTTCTGCAAACGCTTCACTGGGACCATTCAGGTCGGATGTTCAAAATGAGACTGGACTGACTCACCCTTCTTGACGGTTCCTTAATGGTCAAACTGAGCTTCTGAGCTTCCTGACTTCTGTATATTTTAAAGTGTGTGTCCTAAGCTACGGCTGTTTCATTTCATACAGGTATTTTTTAATCCCTCTGGGCTTTTCTCTGTCCATCGCTCCCCACCAGCTGTTTGTCCTGGATCAGCACCTTGCTTTAGCTGTACTAAATTACATCAAAAGTTAGTTACGGGTTAAAGGTCAACTGAGAGCAATCTGCTGCAGCTGTAATGGGCTTCTGCTGTGACCCCCACGGGGGTTGTATGATTCATAGTATCAGTGCTCTTGCCAGAAGAGCAAATAATTGCTTATAAAAACCCTGTGTTAGGAAACTGCCCTGTCTGGAAGCACGTGGGCAGGTCTGGTCGTTTAGAAAGACGGCTGTCGCAGCAATTCCCGGCAGCCCAGTGCAGATAACATGTCCCCTGCCAGCAATTCCCCGTCTCTCTCCTCGGGGGTGGGGGTTGCTATTGTACTAATTAAAATCACTGGTTTTAAAAAAAGGTGAGAGGTGTTCAGGTTTCCATCTGGTGACCTTGTGCCTGGCCCCGAGGGGGTAGGTAGGGCTGCTCACAGCATGGCACGTGGGAGGACCAAAATGGTTCTTAAATGCCGAAGTTAGGTTTTATTAGAGGAGAAACTGGAGCAGGCAACTTCTCAAAATAGAGAACACTCAACCCACTGCTTGGGTGAGACAGAATAAAAATAGAAAGGGTTTATTAAAAAGAGGAATTACAGTGGGAAATACTTCTCCTTGCGGGTGGACCACGTACCTCAGGCTCTTGCTGCAGCACGTCCAGCTCCACAGCTTGCCGGGGTCCCTGGGGGGGTCCTGGTCACACCAGCGCCTGGGCTGCTGCCCGCCTGCCCGTGCGGCCTCCCACGGCATGGCTCTGCGGGCTCAGGGCTGGGCCACGTGCCGTGTCCCACCTGGGCACTGGGGCCCCTTCTCCTTCTCCCAAGGGAAGGCGAAAGCTCCCTGGGGGCTGCGCTGGGCCCAGCCGGTCCCTCTTGTAAAGTAACAGTGGTGGAGAACAAACAAGTCAAACGAGCACTGTCTGTCACGAGTCCAGCCCCTCTGGTTCTTGTCTTTGTGGTGTTTTCTATAGTTTGCTAAATTTTTAATAAGGCTTCTTGTTGCATGGATGGAGAAGGAGCCATTAGAGGTTGTCCCACTGTTTGCACTTGGGAATCCCGTCTCTGCCACCAGACCTGCATCAGGAGAGTTGTTTTGTGAATTACTCACTGATCAGTAATGGCTTTTGAGGGGGCAATTGTGGAGAATTTATGTGTCTGAGCTTTCTGTCTGTTCAATACAATTTTTATATGATAAAAATGTTCGGATTTTTTGTGTATATTTTTTAACATACCTAAAACTTAACGCTGTGTTTCAGAATGTGACCTGTCCCACCACCTCTTTTACGGACCTGGCAGAAATTGTGTCCCGGATCGAGCCCGTGAAAGCACCCGTGGCAGACGGTGAGTCGGGTGATCTGGCTGGCGCTGCGGAAGCGTTGGGAAGGGCAGCGAGGCAGGGACGGCGGCTCGCTCCTCTTGCATCCCTTGTCTAATGGCTTTCTTTTAACACCCCATGCTGTAAATTGTGGCGGTTCAGGGCCAGCTGCCGGCCCCGGTGTCTGCTGAGCAAAGCTGGCAGCGGCGCACCGTCTCCCTGCTTCATCCAGAGCCTCTGCCTGCAGGTGTGCCCGAGCGTGCCCCAGGCCAGACCCTCCGCGTGCCCCCTCCCGCTGCCTCCTCCGGGAGAGGGTGGGAGTCGGATGTTCCTGCTGCGGCGAGACATCCGCTGCCAGCCCAGTGCCCCAGGCCAGACCCTCCGCGTGCCCCTTCCCGCTGCCTCCTCTGGGAGAGGGTGGGAGTCGGATGTTCCTGCCGCGGCAAGACATCCGCTGCCAGCCCGTTACCGGTGTGGTCCAGTGTGGTTTCCTGGTGGTAGTAATCCCTACTCAAGTTAGCCTAATCTGAGTGAAATAACACGTGTGGCAACTCCTGCAAAGACAGGCTTTTATTCCCCTTGTGCTGGTCCGTGTCCTTGCGATGGCTTCACTCTTTGGTCCGCGTCCTTTTGAGACGGGAGGAGGCTGATTTAAAGCTTTCCCTGCTGTTATGAGTAGGATCTGGAGTGACTCACTGGCTCCATTGCTTTTTGTACTCTCCTGTTACGGGGAGCACTAGTGAACTAATGAGGAACAGGTAACGGCTCCTGCATCTTTACACAAAGGCACTGGAGTGCCTTGTGCCTCGGCCGTGCGCTGTGCAGCAGTTCGCTGTACGTGCCATACGTGAAGCTCACTTAACAAAAAGGATCAGAGCTTTGCAGGCCTGAAATCTCCGAGTGTTTCACCAGTGGTAGAGCTCTTTATAAACAGTCTCTCCCCCTCCTCCCGATTCTTGTTCTTGCAGAGGGAAATCTAAAGTTAGCAGTCCTCCCATCTGTGACTGTTTGTAGAGATGTCCCTGTGGTAATTTGAAATGCTAATTGCAATCATATGCCTTATGAAGAAATTATTAATCAAATGTGGTTGAAACAGCCATTGTGAATACGAATGAAGAGTTCATGTAACATGGTTATTTAAGGCACAGGCATTGAGACCTGCTAAGATCTAACCAGTGTACTGGAACAGATCTTCCTCCTTTATATAGTTTCTGATTATTCACCCCCTTTAGGAAGACCTGCTTTCTGCTGGGTGAGGTCATGAACACGAGTGTAACAAAGGGACACGTCTTTCAGGAAGTCGATATGGCAGATTTTGGGCTAAGGAGGGCCTGTGCAGGGGCTACCTGGGACGGGATGGGCAGGTGCCACGCGTTCCTCGCGGATGATGAAAGCTGTTGGTTGTAGAGACTCCAGAGGAGGGGGGAGGATGGCAGGAGAGAGAGTCGCACATGAGGGCGCCGGGTCTTGAAGGACCCTTTATATTCATGTTGTGGGTGACTCTGAGCGCTGCCTGCAGGCACCTTGCCCGTTTTTTGGTGGGCAGTGGCTGTAAAGGCATTCCTCTGAACGTGGCCTCGCCTCGGTGCCTCCGGGATGGCATCGCTTTTGCTAAAGAGGTGTCTGGAGCTACGGGGGAAGCAGTCCGTACCGAGGTGAGCTCAGATGGAGGGTGACACCTCCCTGGCGGTGGCCTTGCGGCTGTCAGATGGTTCCTTGTATGTGCTGGTGAGCCTTTGCATTTGTCTGCTCATGATGGTGGTGAAGATGGTCTGACTGCTTTTGTCCCGTGTAAGTAAGAAGACAGGGTGCTTCTTGGTAGCCTGGCTGTGAAACAGCACTGCCAAAGGGGGTGAAACCTTTTTTCTCCCTGGAATTCCGTTCCTGAATGAGATCTTGGACCTCGGGGATTTAGAAAGGCTCTGCTTGTCCTGACAGCATACTGCAAGTCTCAGGCTGGGTGGAGAAATTATGTCAATAATTTTGTTCTAAAGAAAGAAAACGAAAATTACCATGTTGTGATTGACTGGGAATCCCAGAAGGGGGAAATGTCAGTACAAAGGGTGAAAGGCCCCAACGGGCAGAGGCTGGCAGATCCTCCAGGTCAGAAGCTGTATCTTCTCTGGGGAGAAAGGGCAGTGAAGTTTCTTCTCCACTCTTGAACAAACTGAGAGCAATGAGTGAAACCATTTTTTTTTTAAAAAAAAAAAAAAAAAAAAAAAAAAAAAAAAAAAAAAAAAAAAAAAAAAAAAAAAAAAAAAAAAAAAAAAAAAAAAAAAAAAAAAAAAAAAAAAAAAAAAAAAAAAAAAAAAAAAAAAAAAAAAAAAAAAAAAAAAAAAAAAAAAAAAAAAAAAAAAAAAAAAAAAAAAAAAAAAAAAAAAAAAAAAAAAAAAAAAAAAAAAAAAAAAAAAAAAAAAAAAAAAAAAAAAAAAAAAAAAAAAAAAAAAAAAAAAAAAAAAAAAAAAAAAAAAAAAAAAAAAAAAAAAAAAAAAAAAAAAAAAAAAAAAAAAAAAAAAAAAAAAAAAAAAAAAAAAAAAAAAAAAAAAAAAAAAAAAAAAAAAAAAAAAAAAAAAAAAAAAAAAAAAAAAAAAAAAAAAAAAAAAAAAAAAAAAAAAAAAAAAAAAAAAAAAAAAAAAAAAAAAAAAAAAAAAAAAAAAAAAAAAAAAAAAAAAAAAAAAAAAAAAAAAAAAAAAAAAAAAAAAAAAAAAAAAAAAAAAAAAAAAAAAAAAAAAAAAAAAAAAAAAAAAAAAAAAAAAAAAAAAAAAAAAAAAAAAAAAAAAAAAAAAAAAAAAAAAAAAAAAAAAAAAAAAAAAAAAAAAAAAAAAAAAAAAAAAAAAAAAAAAAAAAAAAAAAAAAAAAAAAAAAAAAAAAAAAAAAAAAAAAAAAAAAAAAAAAAAAAAAAAAAAAAAAAAAAAAAAAAAAAAAAAAAAAAAAAAAAAAAAAAAAAAAAAAAAAAAAAAAAAAAAAAAAAAAAAAAAAAAAAAGGGAGACTGTCCCTCAGGAAGGGGTGAGTAGAGGGAAGCCAGGCAAAGCCCTGCACTGCACCCAGGATACCTGTTCGGCCAGTGAGCAGGTAGAGAAGTTTCTGTAGGAGAACAGAAGCTCGTTTTCACAGCTGAGCCACTGCAGTATTTGTAGGCATGTTTCTGTTCTGCATCCAAACACTTCCTCGACTGGGATTTTCTGTCTTGTTCAGCTGTAATTGCATTTTACGCAGCCATGGCCGTGGCCAGGGGAGCACAGATGTCATCCTCCAAGGGTGGCTCAGCTGCATCCCTGGTCATGTTCCCACCTGTAAGGAATTTCTGAGGACCAAAGTTGCACAGGCTCTTTGGTGATTTCCCACAGCAGGTTTGATGTCTCATTTTTCAAAGCAGTGATGCTTCGGGCTGTCCCCGTAGCCAGGTTTCACGGTGTGAGGCGAGATAGCACGCTTGCTGCATGTGATGGTTGAAGGAGATCAAGTCATGTAGCAGAGCAATTGTAGCAACAGCCATTTGGGAAAGAGAAATGTTAATCATGGTGTCAAATGCCTGGTTTTGCAATACAGCTGAAGCAGGAGATGTCCCAGAACCTCTCAAGGGACAAAATTATCAGGCACTAGGTCACCCTCTGCATCTTTGCTGCTTAAAAAGTACTTTCATTAAGAAGAACTAATGCACCTTAGGTTGTGATGAGCTACCAGATTCCCTGATTTACATCGAAGCCTGTCAGTGTTACTGAAACGGAAACCTTCTAGCAACACAGCACCGATTTTCTTCAAATGTGGGGTGCTGCCTGCAGAAATTAGGCATATATAAAAGAGGTGCTAAAAGCTATAGCATCACAAAGCAGATTCTTGGCATAAGACGTATGCCCTTCTTGCTGTGAATGTGCTCCCCCCATTAACGGCAGGCTCAGGTACCTTTCTGTGGTGTAATCTCCTCTTCACTGGCTCATTTTCGAGCTGCAGCGTTTGGGTGTTGGTGTGTCGAGCAGGGCAACAAGGCCTTGGTCCTGCTTGATGCTTCTGGGAGGTTTTGTAATGTAAAGGAGCAGTCGCCCCTTGAGCCCCAGACGCTCAGCCTCGAGTGGGGCAATGGAAGATGATGTTTAGGGACAGCAGGACCACCTTCTGTTCTCCTTTCCCCTTTAGTCCTCCAGCACCCAGAGTTGCTGTGTGAAGGATGTGAGAAGGGATACCCCTCTCTTGTTTTTTGTATCTGTATAAAGACCTGTTAAATGCTGAATAGTGCTTGGAAAATCAAGGAGTTTGGTTTTGATGGTAGTCAGTTTTATTGGAGCTGTAAACTTCAAACTATTGTTTGTGCTGTCTGTGCTGTTCAGATGAGTTTCCAGTTTCTCTGGTGTGTTTTATCAAAGATTATCAGTAGTGTTTTTAATACAAACTAAAGCTAATTCTCTGATCCACAGTAAAAAAAATACTAAAAAAATAAAAAATAAGACCAAATGTCTTTAATCCTAATGTTCTAGCAGTTGGTTGTAGTTGTCGTGCTAGAAGAAAATGCTGTGGAACAGACTGTGCTGTTGTCTTCAGCATGGAGCAGATGCTATTGACTGTTCTCAAAAGAAATACTTAATCAAGATTCCGGTTTAAACACGAGCCACTTTCTTCACTAGTGGGCTGAAAAACAGGTATTGCTTCAGCAACTCAAAGCACACTTGAATTAACTCATGAAAGTGGCGGAAAAACTAGTGTCACACAAAAATGACTTTCTGCCATTTTAACGCCTTAGCTTGCATTCTGAAAAACTGCGTGCCAGAAACTGCAAAAGGAAGGTGGCCAACTGCCACTTGCTTCGTTTCGCCGCCCGCGTGCCTTGGTTTCACGCTTGGTCGGGATGGGGCTCTGCAGTGGCCGCTGGCGCGTTGGGTGATGTACTGGGGCTGATGACAGGCGTCTGCCCTGGCACATTTGTCGAGTGTTGAGTTGATGTGGGAGAGAGTCAGTCCTGTTAGCGGGTGACTCTCCTGCTGTCTGTTTTACAGACCCTGAAGGGATCTCCAGGTGCTGGAAGAGGCATTGACTCTGCACTGATGTATCTCGTTCTTTGGGAGCAGGCTTCGGTGCTGGGGACTGGGGGCTTGGTGGCATGTCCTGCTGCTGACTGCTGTGCCCCAGTGTGCACAGCTCTTGAGCTTCCCTAAATTATCTTAATCTGCTGGATTACCAGAGAGAGCAGGTGATTGTCCCCGGTGGAGAGGAGGGGAGTGTAAATGTCACTGTCCCCTGTGGACCAGAGATGTGAGACACGTAATTATCATCTCCACAGCAGGAAGAGCTCGCCCTATGCCTGGAAGACCCTGTTTCCAGTGAGTCTGTGACCGATGTGTCCAGGGGAGTTTGGATTGGTAGCTCACAGGCATGTCTCCTGAAGGTATTCTATAGGTCTTGTCTGGACTGACGGGTGGGAGACAGCAGCTATTCTGTGAAGAGCGTTCGGCAGGGAGCATCTCCCCATTGCCAGCGTTTGTGTCCCGTTGGGCTGGGCAGCTGGCACCCACCAGAATAACATGGACGGTTTGTATCTCACTGCTCTTGCTCCAGGCTCTTCAGATTCTAGCAGGCTCCAGGACACCAATTCACATCTAGGATACAGTTTATTTTGTGATCTGGCTGGACAGCCGATATCTGTGTTTGAGTAGTCCCAGTTCACTGGGCTGCGGAAAGTTGGCCAGCAGTCACCCTGCCCTGCACCGGTGCTCAACGGAGATAGCTATCATTCCTTTTCCAATTTTCTCTGCTCTGTGAATGCTAGTTAAAACCCATGTTTCTTCTCTTCTTTCTCTTTAGATGAGTCAGATTACCAGACTGAGTACGAGGAAGAAATTCTGGACAACCAGAAGGATGATTATATCAATTTCATAAGCAACCAGGTTGAAGAAGACTCTGACTCGGTACGAACTGCCCTGGAAACAGGCAACGCCTGTGTTGTTGCTGAGTTCCGTGTGAATGGTGTGCGGTGGGTGTGAGGTGGAGATGTCAGGCAGGATACTTGAGAGAAGCACCTGGAAGGGACTTACAGAGGACTGTGCAGAAATAAGTTTGCTTTTCGTGTAGTACAGACACTAAATGACGCGTGCTCACCCTGTTCAGGTCAGTCGTCTACAGTGGTGCTGTGTGTGGCAAAACGCGGCCATGGTTAAAACCTGGCGACGCAGCTCCGTGGGTTTGCTCGCGAGGTGGGTCAGGGCTGGAGAGCTGAGGAATGAGGAGAGGCTGAGGGAGCTGCTTTCTCCAGCTCAGAGGAGAGGAGATGAAGAAAGAATCTGACTGCTGTCTGCAGCTGCCTGCTGGGTGGTTATGGAGAAGACAGCAGCAGAGATGCACAGCAAAAAGACAAGAGGTGACAGACACAACTTGTGCTAAAGGAAATCCTCACTGGGTACAGGGGGAAATGTTTCCCAGTAAGCATGGCTGAGAACTGCAATGGGCTGTGCAGGGAGGTGCTGGAAACTCCATCCTTGCAGATACTTGAAAACCAATAGACGCCCTGAAGAACCAGATCTAGCATTAGAGTTAGCCCTGCTTAGGGCAGAAAATTGTATTATACCCTCCAGAGGTCCCTTCCAACCAAAGTTGTTTGATTCTGTGGGACATCAGGTCCACCCTGAGGAAAACCTGCACTGAGGCCAGACTTCACACGATGCGGCCCACAGCCTGAGAAGCAAACCTTGGAAGGGTCGTATCCCTGCCACTCTTACTCCGGCTAGAGTGGCCGGCAGGTTTAAAAGGTGAAGCTGCCCGTTGTGTTGGACATGAACAGTTTCTCAGTGGGAGCATGTGAGCAGTTTGGGAAGGTGCCTGGCCTGGGTCAGGATGCGAGATGGCTTCGGTGCTTTGAGTGAGGAGCTGGAGTGATGGCATAAAGATTTTGTTTGCTGGGCTGATCTCCGGTGGGTAATGGTCGGTGGACAAAGAAGAGGTGGAGGGGAAGAGGACAGATTTTATGCAGCTCAGAGAGGATGCTGAACAATGAATTTGTGCGCTTCTATTTATTTTTTTTTTCTTCTTCAGGATGAAGACATGCAGATAAGAAAGCGCAGGAATGTCCCCAATGTGGAGGGCCAAGCAAGCAGCACGGGAGAGCCTGGCTAGCACTGAGAAGATTCTGACCTTGCTAAATCCCATTGCTACCTACATCAGCTGTAATTATTTATTAAATATTTTAAAAAACCAAAACAGTGTCTAGTTCAAATTAAGCAAGCTTTCGTCCTTCTCCAGACAGGGTATGGGGCGTTCAGCTGCCAGCACTAAGCAGAAATATCTGCATCACGCCCAAGTCCCTTTGGACCTCCCGTGAAGGGGCTGACGTGTGCCATACTCCCCCGTACAGGTGCCAGTATGAGCGGCCGGTTATTAATCACTCTGAGACTGGCAGAGGGGGAAACATGCTGGGAACGTGCAGTTAAATGCTGCCGTGATTTTTGCTGCTGTATGTTCTAGTCGCTGTTTTTACTGCGAAGGCCCAAAGAATGACGGGATATTATCCTGCTGTGTGCTCTTCCCCTCTGTTCGAATAGGTAATTAATTTCCAAGTTGTGTATTCTAGTTCTAAACTTCCCAATAGCCAGACTTGCTTCCTGGAGCCTGGGTGTGAGCCGCTGGGCTGGTGGTTGCATAGGTTGAAGGAGTCGCAGAAAACAGAAAAATAGTGGGTGTGCTAATTAGAGTCGCTGTATTTGCTTTGTGCTCTGTTTTACAGGGAAATGGCACTTAGTTCAGACGTACGAAGACAGAAAATAAACCTTTGATGTGAGACTGAAAGTCTCTTCTAAATAATTGATCACAACTTTCCTCCCTAGCTGAGCCCTGGGCGTTAAAATAATCTTTCCTTCTGTGCAGAGGAATGTAAAACAAATATGGTACAACTTTAAAAGCAAAATTGTTTTTCCAGCTGGCTTTGCTGCTGGCTGTGGTCAGCCCAGCTGCCCGGTCGGGCAATGCCGGGTCCTATCGGTGGTTCAGCCCCATCCTGCTCTTACACCCAGGTGCATCCTGATGATCCTGTACTTGGGTGTGCAATTCCGTGTTTGGACGTTTTAAACAGTCCCTGCCCGCTTGGACACTCAGCCCTGTGCTAAGAAGTTGGGGCTGGATCACCCCTTCACACCCCAGGCTCTACAGCGACAGTCCCTCTGTTTTGCTAGAAATGCAGCAGGAGAAGGTCGATCTAGAAGAGCCCCGACTCTGCCTGTCTCAGCTGTCCTAGCCCGGGCCACTGTCCTGCCAGTCTTTGCCGGCCCGGCGGGTGCTGGCTTTGGCTGGAAACCGCCTGCTCTCTCTGCAGTTTCTTCACGGGTGTGTTACATCCCCCAAAAGATAAAGTCTGACCAGAAGCTGGATGAATTTGGCCTTGCTGGAGGAGACAAAACAGCTGCTGAGGCCTGAAGGCTTCATCTCAGGTGAAGAGGACACAGAGCCTGTTCCCACAAAAAGCCTGATGCCAGCCATCACCGGACGTGAAGTAGCAGGATCGGAACAAGGTCCTGAGGAACCATGGTAGCTGCGATGGGAAAGGTTCTCCTCAAAGGTTTTGACTTGTATACGTCTGGTGGTTGCTGATTGCTGGGGGTAAAACCTTGAATGAGCTTTCAGAAACATGTCCCAGTGACGGATTTGCAGCAGGTCGAGCACCAGTCCCGCTCGGTGGCCTGGGCTGAACTCATCCAAGCAGCCAGCATGGAGAACTGGGGTGAGAAATGCCCACGGGCTCTGCCAGTGACAGTGGCTGCTGCGCTGAGGGGACCGACGTGTCCCGAGTCGGTGAGTTGAGACTCAGGCACCTGCTGGGAGGGGAAGCCATGGAGGAGGGAGGGTGTTTTGGGGAAATTTGTTTTCAGGACTCCAACTCTGGCCCTAGTCCCTGCAGGGGAAGGGCCGACAGCGCAGACGCCATCCATGCCTGGTGAAGAGACGCCATAGCTGGGCTCTCCCGACCTCCCATGCTGGTGAGTGGTGGCACTCCTGTCCCCATGGGGCAGCACCTTGGGGCTGACCTACTGCAAATGCATCAGTGCAAGGCATGAACTTACTTAGTTGCTTCGTTAACGCGGTGTCATGAGCTGTTGTTCAGCTCTTAAAGACAGGTCCAGTGGGATTTGGGAAGAAGGATGAACTACTCTCGCCCACGTAGCAGCTGGAAGCACCTGTCCAAAATCTCTGGGAAGCATTTCCTGGGCAGGGGGAGAGCTTTGATCTCGTGCTGTGCGGCTCTGGCTCATGCACGGCTGTTTGCGATGGCTCCTGCTGCGGCTTCTCGGGTTTCTTGCCCTGTGCGGAGCCGGTTGTGTTCGTGCAGCCCCTCAGGGCTTTGCTCCATGGGCAGGAACGGCCGGGGCTGCAGTGGGACCCTGCAATGCTCCTTCCCTGGCAGACGTCATTCTTGCTGCGTGTTGTTCCAAAATTAATCTCATCTTATTTACTCGTGCTCCCCTGACCTCCTCCGACGTGTGATTTTCCTTGCATGCCGCCTGAGGACTGTGTTTAAGCTGTCAAGATGCAGGGGCTTTACTGCGCCTCTGGGTTTAATTTACTGTTGCTGTGAGTAAGAGCCAGTAATAAAATCAAAAAAAGAGAAATACAGCAAATATTTTCCTCTCCCGCAGAGGCTCTGCGAGGCCGGACCGGCACCCGCGGCTGCCCACCGTGCTGAGAGCCCTGCCGAAACATGGCCACGGGATGCCGCAGGACCGTGGCTTCCCGGAGGAGCCGGGGCAGGAGGCATTAGGGTTATTAAGACATTGTTTGTTTGATGAACGTGATTTTGTGATGTGGCTTGTGCTGGCACCAGGGGCAGACTCCCATTAGCAGTCCCTTCCCGGCCGATGGCTGATTGCTCTCCCGTTGGGGCTGGTGGGGTTTGTGTCCGCGCTCCTTGTCCCCATCCCCTCCTCGGGTCATGGTGGGTCTGACCCTCTTTTTCCCCAACGGCCTTAGTTTGGGTTTTGGTATAAATAGTGCTGAAAGGTGCCAGGAGCTGGCAGAGCATCCACCCCATGCCTGGGAGCTGCCTGGGAAAATAGGGATGGGGCACAGCTGCTCCGGGTGCGAAAGCTGGGAAACGCCGGCGTGGCCAGCTCACCGCGGCCTGGGGACATCCATGCTGGGCAAGTCAGCTCTGCCAAACCCCCTTCCCTTACCGAAATCAAGACTTTTAGGGGAAACTGTGCCACTAGCAATTGCAATAAAAGCATTTGCCTGTTGTTTAAAAAAATAATAAGGAAAAGCAAAATCAAAGTGTTATTAATGCTCATCCTGGTTTTAGAAGTGAATATACCATAAATCTATTTAATTTTGTGTTGGGATTGATCCTGGAGACACGTTGCACGCTGCAGGAGCAGCCCTGAGCAGCGTTTCGAGCCCTGGGAATGCACCTGGGGCCTGAGCGTTACTTAGCGCAGACGTGGCATTTTCACAGGTAATTGGCAGAGCCACCGTCACTGCTCTCCGCCGCAGCCGGCACCAGCAGGGACAGCTCTTAATTAAGCCTCGCTCCGTTGGGGGGTTACGGACAGCAATGCGCTTCCCGTCACAAAGCAGCCGGGCCTCCAGCTCTGGAAACGCAGTCGGGTTTATCAGGGAGGAATGACGTTTTGGTGCGATGTGGCCTCAATACAGAACCGCGCCGTGCTGAGCCCGAGGCCCCCCGGATGGCGTGGGACACCCCGGGGCTGGTACCCACGAGGTGCCAACGCTAATGATGCTGCTGGAAATACTTATTTTTGGAAATCGTGTCTTTAGCCAGGGTATCTGTCAGGGAGGGCAGGCTTAGCAGTGCCGGCAGGTGACACTGGCCTCGCAGGGATGAGCGCAGCTCTATGTTACAGCACTCAAGCGGTGTATAATTTGGGATCAAATGTGCGTTGATTTTAAATGTACCATAAATGACACATTTTTTTTCTTTGAAGAAGGCACATTAGGTGTGATGCACAGCCCTGGAGGAATATGTCGAATAAGGCTGGTTCCTCGCTTGAGCAGCCCTGACCTGCCCACGCGTCCCTGGACAGGGTGAGCTCTGTGCTGTGCCTCTGGCCACGTGCTTGAGCGTGTTGTCACTGTGTGGACCACTATGGGCAGTCACGGGTGGCCCCAAATGCCCCGCCTGCCCTTGCTGTTGGCTGCCAGGGTGCCCTGCACCCGCCGGGCTCCGGGAGGCACAGCGGGGTGCTTTTTGGCACTGCATGTGCCCGTGGCTGCACTTGCAATATAATTTTTTTTTTTTTTTTTTTGCTCCGTCTCGGCTGCATGTCGCCCTCACCATGGGCTGAGTTGCAAAACTCAATTTCCTCGCAGTGACTAATGGCTGCCTCGAGGCAGAGGCACTCGGTGGCAGTTTTCAGCCGGTCACTGCTGTTGCAAGAAGGGTTGTTTCTGCTCTGAGTGAGAATTTGTCGAGGCCGCGTGGCATGTTGGCTCTCATGTGGTTCGATGTGGCAGGGAAGGACGTGTGTGCTGGCTCTGTCGTCCTTGGCTTCATCATTCTCAGTCCCGTCTTGGTGCTTTTCCCTCTCCAGGTGGTGTGGGTCTGTTCCTCCAGCGTGTGACCAGGCTGTTGCTGCTGTCCCTCTCCTGAATTAGGTGCTGAATTAGCTGGAAGTGGCTGGTGGGTGACTTCTCTCCCCACTGCAGAGCTGGGGGATGCCAGCCCGGCTCGGGACATCCCTTAAACTGCTGCTCCGTGGCTCAGCCACAGCACTAAGTCACCTGGTGACTGTAAAGTCCCTCCCCTCCGCTTGCTTCCTCGCTGGAAATAGAAAGCTTTTAACGAAGCAAAGATCGGAAAAGCTTTTAGAGCGGGGCTGGCAAAGCGGTGCACCCCTGGGATTTCAGGGGTAATGAGGTGGGAAAGAGCTGGCGAGGAGGAGGTTGTGCCAGCCTCGTGGATCGGTGCCCGGGCCACGGCCGAGAGCGCCGATGTGGGGCTGCCCGACCCAGCCAGCAGCGGCCACCTTTGAAGGTCCTGTTGGGACACGTACCCGGTGGTGAAGGAGATTTTGGTCCCTGAAAGCAGAGGGAAGAGCTGAGCCTTGCAGAGTTCATTGTGGTGAGCGTGCCTCTTTCTGGGGCTCCTCTTCTGCAAGCGATGAACCCTTCAG